AAAACAGTATGGTGATTCCTAAAAGCTCTAAATATTGACCTCCCATATGACCCCAAAATCTCCCTACTGGGAATATACCCTGAAGAACTCAAATCACTGTATAAAAAAGATAACCGCACACATATGTTTATTGCAGCATTGTTCACAATAACAAGAACCTGGAAGCAATCATGCTGTCCATCAAAAGAGGACTGGATTAAAAAAATGTGGTACATATACACGATGGAATACTATGCAGTCATAAAAAAGAACAAAGTCATGAATTTTGCAGCAACCTGGATGGAGCTAGAGTTTATAATATTGAGTGATCTCTCACAGAAACAAAGATCTGAGTATCACATGTTCTCACTCATATAGTGGACCTTGAACATCCAACATAATACTATAAGAAAATGACTGACAGTGGTGGGAAACTTTGGGGGGGGAGGGGAAGGGAGATGGGATCAACGGTAGTAAATATCTGTCTGGGGATGGGGAGACACTTCTTATCAGCAAGGGTGCCTGAATGAAGCATATTTGTATGCTAACCCTTAGCTGTACCCCACAATATCGTAATAAAAAATATTGATTAAAAAAAAGAAAGAAAATGGTGCTCGACTTCTGCATCCTGGGAGTTGCTAGGGTCTAAGCCCAGCAGCTGTGGTAGCAGCTGCTACTCCAGGAGTGCCCTGGCCACCAACTCCCTAGCCCTCACTCAGTCAGCCACTCACACACCCACTCACTCACCAGCAGGTACACAAAATTTTCCATGCACTCATTCACATGGGGACTCACAAAGTCTGTCTGGCTTGGCTGCCATCTTCCCAACCCCTGCCAAGACTTAGCCTTTTAAAGTAATGTAATATGTTACAAAATAAATTAGTAAGAGTAAAAAGAATAAACATACTTCCACTAGCATACAATTTTCCAACTCAAAGCAAGCCTTTATAATGAGACTTTAATGGAAGAATATTGATAATCCAGAGAAGCAGAGGATAAAGGGAATGATTTCATGTGGTTGGTGGAAGAAAAAAGAGAGGAGGGATATTTAAAGAGCTTCTCACACAATTTCAAAAAGAATTAGGATTTTATATGTTCTACACAAAAGGGGGCCCTGTGCCTGCTATCTCAATACCCACTGAAGCAGCATACCTCAGAGAGAATAACTGTGTAGTGTACCTGGAAAGAGACTGTCACAGACACTGATGTTTTTACAGAGAATAAAGTCACCCAAGGTTAAGAGATGAGTGGGTTTAGAGCAGAGCATGTCATCAGTGACCATGTAGATAGACCAGATGTTCCTTCTCAAAGGATTAAATTGCATTAGACCCATAACACTGACCCTATTCAAAACATAATGGAAGTGATATCCAAGAGTGACTAAATTTAATATCCTATAAGTCTAGAGAGTAAATTTTTGGAATAGATGAAATTTAACTTAAAAAATAAAAGTAGTATTACTTTTTTATACTCAATAATTGAGTAAATTTTAGGACCACTGACTGAGTTTACTTTTTCCTGAAACAATGTCAGTGTTGTCTAACTGGACTTTAATAAATAGGTTTATTTTATTTTAAAAACGGGAGTACTGAAATTGTCAAATTCTATTTAATTTAACTGCCTATGAAATTAAAATTGTTTGGTGCTAACGTACTTATTTATTAATTCACTTATCCTCATGGCTTTTATTTTCTTCTCTGCTTTTATAGGTAAAGTTAATATAAACAAAATCACACATAGAATAAGATATGTTTTTAAAGTATTAATGTAATTGTCCAAAGTAAGCTCACTTTCCACTTTTACAAGCGTTCCCCAAACTCTCAGTGACTTTCAACAATAAAGTTTCACTTTTTATTCATTTGTTCAACATAAGTTAAATGAATGTCTGCATCATGTTGGTACTAAGGAGCAAAGATGCACAGCACAGGAACGACTCCTAAGGTTTCTTCTTAATGAGCACCTTATGTCTCCTCTCAGTGCACTGGCTAAAACATATCACATGGTCACCACTCATAGCAATGGGACAGAGAAGTCTAAGCCTCTTCTAACTAGGAACACTATAAGGAATAACCCATGTAGGAAGTACCAAAGAGAGGCAGCAAACATTTACATCATAATAAAAGTTACTCCTGTAATCGTAGCAGCTTATGATCTTGGCAAATGATAAAAATAAGGTAAACAGTTTCTTGTTATCGACTTAACTAAATACCATATGCAAAGGGTTTAATGCTTTATAAATTAAAAAGTTATAGTACAGTTTCTTTTCCATACTTGTTTTAAAATCTTAACAAAATTTCATTTAAAGATAATGCATAGATACGAACATTGAAATAGTTTTATTTAACAAACATTTGTATAGAGATTATATTTCCTATATATTTTGTGTAGGTCAAAATTCCTTAGAAATTTTAAGATTCTTATTTTTATTTTTCAATGTGTTTTTTCTCTGGAATACAGGTTATTAATGCTATTATACATTTTAGAGTTTAGGGATGATAGGGTTAATTATTTTGGACTTTTTTTTTTTCCCCTTTCTAGTATAAGACCATGAAAAACTCCTTGCATTATAATGGAATTCATCCAGGCTTTGGAAAATGGAATCATTACTGGACCAGCATTCCCAGGAACCTCAAGGATACTCTAGTCTATTATTAAAACTATCATCTCATATTGGAAGCTGAGAATTTCGGCATGTATTATTGATTTTATTTTTTAGGATTTCATTTGAAATTAATATAACAGTCTACCAAACAGTTTTATACTTCTTCGGTTTTTGTTTTGTTTTCAAATCAGCTTTCTACTAGTTTATTTATATAAATTAATTATTCCTTATATATATTTATTTTGGACAACTACATTTTCTTTTTGTTTATGTTTTCTGGTTTTATATTTTTAAAGTCTTGTGTCATTAAAAAAAGATAAAAATAGCTTCCATATCAACAATTTTTAGAGGACCCCAAATTTTTAAATAAAATAATTTCTGATATGTAAATCATAATGAGATATAATTAAATAAAATACCATTCTTAAGCTCATTAGAGTAAATATACAATTAAAACAAAAATAGACAACTTATTTTGCTTTTTAAAACCCATGAAACCATACAGTTTTTATTACCATTTTAGACTTGTTAACAAAGCACAAGCTATTTACTATTAACTCCATTGTATATGTAAGCAGGGAAAATCTACCCAATATATTTATCTAACAGTGTATTATTTCATAAAGTAATTTGCTCAAGATTCTAAAATAACCTATTTTAAAATGCAATGCTACTATAACTCTTCAATTATTGTCATCATAATTTTGATACATTTTCTTTAATATCATTGTTGTTTCCAGTTCCTACAACATATCATTCCATAAAGTAGTCTGCACTATCTTTCATTGTTTAACCATTTGCTGCTCAAAATTATTATTTCTAGTAAGACTTGATTCATGCTTCATGGTAATAGTTTACCCATAAAATATCTGAGCCGGGTTCAGTGGCTCAGCCTGTAATCCTGCGCTTTGGGAGGCTGAGGTGAGTGGATTGCCTGAGCCCGCGGGTTCGAGACCCACCTGGGCAACTTGGCGAGACCTCATCTCTACAATAAATCAAAAAATCAGCCAGGCGTGGTAGCACATGCCTGTAATTCCAGCTACTCGGAAGGCTGAGATGGAAGGATAGCTGAAGCCCAGCAGGTCGAGGCTACAGGGGCCAGGGGTGGCCACTGCACTCCAGTGTGGGCGACAGAGTGAGACTCCAACTCAAAAAAAAAAAAAGTCTGAAAAAAATTCTACTATAAGTAGAAACAATGGTGGGAATGTTACAAAACAGAAATAATGATAGTGATAGTAGACATGATAATATCAGTAGAAACATAAAAAACTAATTTGGTCCCTTTACCCTAGTTAGAGGCAGGGAATTTATTAAATCTAGCAATTCAGTCATAGTGGACTTTGAAAGTGTTTCACACTGCATATGACTTATCTTACTGACCATTTAAAAATACCATTTTGACCATTCCAAATGTCTTTAAATATAAAATGTTTTCAAATTCTTCCAGTACTTTTAACTCAAATAAACTTTTAAATTGAATTAAAATTACAGTAAGTTATGACACTTATAAATTTTGTAAGCAGGGCAAACACACATTTGTGGCTCAGAACATCAAAATATTTAAAACCATCATATAAATCATTTTAAAAAACATATTTGTTGAGTGTTTATATATGTATACATGCCAAGCACTGAACCAATCAACAGAGACTAAAATATAATTAAAATATGGATTATCTTCTTGAAACTAATTCAGATTTAGAGAAAAATGTCTAAGTAAAGTCTATAATACATGATAAACACAGCCAAAAGTATATACTCAGTACAGTATGATGCTGTCACTCAAGAAGCAGTGATCAAAATAGCTCAAACTTTTTCAGAGAAAATGTTATATAATAACAATAATAGATGACTTAAGAGAAGCTCAACATTTTTCAAAGTGAAACTAAGGAAAACTTTCTAGTTAGAAACAATAGATGGCATTGCAGAAAACTGAGGAGGCATGAAACAATACATTTTTCAGGATTTATAATTATTTAATCAAACCTAAATCAGAGGCTACTTGTCAGGAAATGTTGGAAGATTACATGGTAAGTGATGAAATCAAGACCAGCTTTATGGTTTATACTACCTGGGCAATAGCACAGGGCTTCATTTTTAGAAAATCTCATGCTAGGTTTAATGTTTTTTTTGTTACTACCTTAAAATTCTTAATTTATTATTTAATTTTTACAATAATCCTCATTGTGCATGGTCTATTCAAGAATACATTCATTTTAGGTGGAACAGAAAGAAGAGCCTTAAATAATTATAGGTGGAAGAAAGTAAACAGAAAAATATACAATCAAAACAGACAGGAATGACAAAAAAAAAATCAGAAAAACATATGAATCACATTTGAATTACTGATTCAATAATCTTTCCTGATATTTACAATTTGTTTTTTGATGCTTAAAATTTCAGTTTGGGGGAAACATAGTTATGGATGCTTCAGGAAGAGAATAAAAGATAAGCAAAATTAGTAAGTGGGCTTGATCGTTTTTCTTTTTTCTTTTTTAATTAATTTTTTTATTTTAAAGATGTGGGGTACAATTCAGGATTAGGTATACAAGTGGTCATTGGACAGGTAAACTTTGGGCCTCCCTTTCATCCCCACTTAGCCTGGCTTGAGATCAGGTCCCCTTATTGATTTTATGTGCCACTCCCTATCCTGGTAGTGTTCCACTACTGCCAGTCCCTTTCTTACAGTATTATGGTCAATATTCAAGGTCTGTTTATAAATGAGAACATGCAGTACTGTGTTCTTTGTTTCTGTGATAGTCTTTAAGTATTATAGATTCTAAATCCATCCAAGTTGCTGTGAAGTCCATATGTTTGCCCTTCTTTATAGTTGCATAATATTCCATTGTATGTATGTACCACATTTTTTAAATCCATTCTAGTTTCCATGGGCACCATGTTTTTGTTATTGTGAATAGTACTACAATAAACATACATGTGCAGATATCTTTTTGGTAGAATGAGTTGAGTAACTCTGGGTATATTCCCAGTAGAGGAATTTCTGGACCATACAGAAGGTCAATGTTTAGTTCTTTTAGAAATCGCCACACTATTTTCCATAGAGGTTGAACTAATTTACATTCCCACCAGCAGTGTAGAAGCGTTCCCTTGTCTCCACATCCTCACCAGCATCTATAGGCTTTTGTTTTATTATTGATGGTCATTCTTACTGGGGCTAAGTGGTATCTCAATGTAATTTTGATTTTCATTTCTCTGATGATTAGTGAGACTGAGCACTTTTTCATGTGTCTGTTGGCTGTTCTATGTCTTGTTTTGAGAAGTGTCTATTCATAATTTTTGCCTACTTCTTAATGGAGCTATTTAGTTTTTCCTTTCAGCATGTTTGAGTTCCTTGTAGATCCTGAATGTTAGGCCTTTGTCAGATATACAGTTGGCAAATAGTCTTTCCCGTTCTGTGGGCTAGCTATCCCCAATCTCTTTATTTATTTATTTATTTGCTTTGCCAAAGTTTTCCAGCTTAATGAAGTTCCAATTTTCTAATTCATCTTTTTTTATTTTTAAATAAAGTTGTGGGGTATAATTCAGGGTTAGGTATATAAAAATTGATCATGCAGATACCTTTGTTGATGAGGTATGCTCCTCCCTCCCTTAGCAGTTTCCCTCAACTGCCAATCCCACCCCCCATCTTATCTTTTATGTCATGGACATCTGGGGTTTTGACCAGGAATTCAGGAATTGGTTGCATACTCCAATTCCCATAAGAGTATCTCCTGTGTTTTCTAAGATTTTTATAGTTTGAAGTTTTATATTTAGGTCTTTGATCCATTTAGAGTTGATTTTTGTGTTTGGTGATAGGTTAGGGACCTGTTTCAATCTTCTGCTTGTGATCAGTCAGTTTTCCCAACACAATTTACTGAATAATTTCTTCTATCCTCACTGGTTGTTGGTGGAGGCTTTATCGAAGATGAGTTGGTTGAGAAATTGAGGTTTTGCTTCTGAAATCTCTCTGTACCATTGGTCTGTATGCCTGTTCTTATACCATTACCAGGCTGTTTTGATTATTGTAGCATTATAGTAAAATTTAAAGTCTGGAAGTGTGATACCTCTGACTTTGTTTCTTTTGCTGAGGATTGTTATGGATATTCATGATCATTTTCATATGAATTTCTGTATTGTCATTTCCAGGTCTCAGATGGATGCTGGTAATTTAATGGGTATTGTGTTGAATCTGTAGATTACCTTTTGTAGGATGGACATCTTAACAATACTGATTCTTCCTATCCTTGAGCATGGAATATTTTTCCATTTGTTTGTGTCTTCTTGATTTTCTTTGGGCAGTGTTTTGTAGTTTTCATTGGAAAGATCTTTCACTTCTCTGGTTAGGAGGTATTGTGTGTGTGTGTGTGTGTGTGTGTGTGTGTGTGTGTGTGTGTGTGTGGCTATTGAGAATGGGAATGTGCTTTTATTTATCTGACTCTTTGTTGTTGGTGTCTAGGAATTTATTTTGTACCCTGAGATCTAGCCAAAGTCCTTTATCGGTCCAAGGAGGTTTTGGCAGATTCTCTTGGATTTAAAATTCTTAATTTATAAGCACAGTTTCCACATTTTAATTTCACACTGGGCACATAAATCGGATAGCTGTTCCTCAGTGAGATCCACATTTGGTGAGCCATATATGCCACACTGGGGGCTTGGGTTTTATCCTGTGAGGCCCACTGATACAGAATGGTTTTATGTAGCAAAATGATGTCATCACATTTCTATTTCACAAAGATCACACTTGTGGAAAAATTAGAATCAAGAACACAGTAATAAAACCATACCAACCACCCAAGTGAGATGTAATGACAGCTTGAACTAAGGAATGCTGGTTAGTATAGCTAGATAAATGAGTGCAGATTTAGATGTATTTTAAGAGAAAGAAAAATTGGAAGGGCCGAGGCCAGTAACAAGTAGAGAGGAAGCAGGAGGTTTCTATTGTTCCTACAAATTTGTTTTCATATATTTTGACCATTTAACAACCTATGATGGGAAAATCAGATTAGTTCTTATATCTTTAGATCTCTTGATGATGCAAGTTTTGGTCTCTGCTTCTAACTATCTTCTCACCTATAAATGATAAATGGCACT